GGTCGTGTTCAGACCCTGCGGGCAGGTGCCACCTGTTGATTCTTTTTCCTGACGCAGCAGGGGGAGTCAAATTCAGAGGAGGCAAAGTTCACACTTGAGGCCCAGACCCCTGGTTCTAAGAAAGGAACAGGCAGGAGTCATGACTCTTGGTCTGAGGAAGAAGGGGCGTAGGCTTTGGGTAAGGAGGAGGAGGGCTGAGGTCTGCATTCTTGCATCTGATGGAAGAGGACTAGGTCTCTGAGGGTAAAAGGGTGCTGAGTGTGGGAATTCAGCAGTAGGTAGGTAGACAGCACCGGAAAGACTCGGGGAGAGGGCTAGAGTCTGGATTTAGTGGGTAGGAGGGAGATGGCCTCTTTCCTCTGGTGTACACAGAGTATTATACTCAGCAGAGCATGGTGTTCCGAGTTGTATGGCAGGGTTCCGTGCTGCAGGGTCACATTTCGTGCTAGAGGGCAAGCTGAGGTCATTGCTAGAAATATCTCCCTAAACTCGGCTGACACCCAGCGTTCCAAACACAGGCCCGGGAACCTTAAAAACCATCTTCTCTAAGGCCCTCAAGATTCAAGCAAGGTCAACACCACAGATACTTTTATTACTTCTTGGTATTCATATTCCAAGCCCATCTTCCCAGAGTCCCATCCTCTATCAAACAGACAACTCAACCTCCCAGCGGTCTACGCGGGAAAAACTACAACTCCCAGAATGGTCTGCGCCCAGGCAGGCGCCCATAAGAACAGATGCCTTTCAAGCTTCGTGCATTCTTCTGTCATTGGTTTTCAAGGACTCGCAGCCACCGGGGGTCCGTGGCGGGGGGGGGCCTGCTGCTCAAGATCCCAGAGGAGGCGACGGAGCCTGCGAAGTTCTCGGTGCAATGCATCATCTGTCACTAGGCCCGTGAGGCGCAGGCGCGAGCTGCCCAAGGGCAGGATGAGAGGAGGGTGCGAAGAAAAACTTTCAAAGATATCCCCTATGAGGGCGAGGAAGACCAAGTTAGAGACTCAGCATGGGTGTGAGGTGGCCTAGCTCCTGAAGGAAGGAAACACTGCAAATCCCAGCATCAAATGCGGGTCTCTGGGACCCAAAGCGTGATGGGAGTTGTAGTTAAGAAGAGGGAAAAAGACCATTAACAGGCTATGTAGTTGAGTCCCTGGGACCGTGAGAAAGGGCTGGGAAATTTGGGGAGATTTCTGAAGACAGAGAAGCCCAATTCCTATGTAAATTGGATTAGAGTTAGGTCTGTGGAGGGAAGAGGCTAGGGGCTTAAGTATAATAAAAAATAATTAAACACGCCTTTAATCCCAGCATTTCTGGAAGGCAGAGGCAGGCGGATCTCTAAGTTCGAGGCCAGCCTGGTCTACAGAGTGAGCTCTGGGACAGCTATTAAAATAGAGGGCTATTAAAATAGAGAAACACTGTCTTGAAAAACCAAATAATAATAATAATAATAATAACAACAACAACAACAACAACAACATGCTTAAACTCTTCTTAGCATACTGGGAAGGGATCCCAGAGTAAGAAAGGCCCCTACTACTGTGTTACAACCCAGCCCCTAGTCTTTAAATCTCGGGGAGAAGGCATCTGGATCCAGCAATTTTAGGTTCTGGGAAATGAAAGGGCCCAGATTCTCATGCAGAACCCTGGATGAGAAAAAGGGTAGGAACATGGCCTCTGAGGTTCCAAGGAAAGAAGACATCTCAATGTTTGTTAGGTCATCTCTGCACACCTGTGTCCACAGCATCTCGCTCTGCAGGTGGTGGGTCCCAGGCTGGAGGTGGCCCACAGCCAGGACCCAGGTGGTAGTGGCTGAGGAGATGGTGGAGCTGAGCAGGGGTCAGGGTTGGGTAGTCAGTCCTCAGGCTGCTCCATGAAGCCTAGGGGAAGACCAAAGCAGAAATCTATGGTGACAGCTGGGCCCAGTAGAGCAGGCCTGCCAATGCAGCTTCTTAGGAGGCTGAGGCAAGAAGATTCAAAGTGCAAGGCCATATTGGGCAACATAGTGAAACTCTATCTCAAAATTAAAAAGTAGAAAGAGGCCTGGAGATGTAAGTCAATGGTAGAGCCTTTGCCTAGCATGTGCAATGCCCTGGGTTTAATTCCCAGTACTGTAATAAGATATAAATAAGTGAAATTAAGGGGCTGGAATAAAGGCTTAGCAGCTGAGAACACTTGCTGCTGTTGCAGAGGACCCAGGTTCAGTTTCCTGCACTCACATGGTCTATAACTCCAGTTCCAGAGGATCTGTCTCCCTTTTCTCACCTTCATGGAAATGGTGCCCATATGCACACGCAGGCAAACACCCACACAAATAAAAATAAAACTTAAAAAAAAAGTGAAGTTCCAGGATGTTGGTGAACCCCTTTAATCCCAGCACTCAGAGGGCACAGGCAGGTGCCTCTGTGAGCTCAAGGCCAGCCTGGTGAGTTCCAGGTTAACCAGCACTACATAATAAGATCTTGGGGACTGGAGAGATGGCTCAGAGGTCAAGAGGACTGGCTGATCTTTCAAAGGCCCTGAGTTCAATTCCTAGCAACCACATGGTAGATCACAACCATCTATAGTGGGATCGGATGCCCTCTTCTGGCATAAAGTTGTATCTGCAAATAGGGCACTCTACATAAATAAATAAATAAATAAATAAATAAATAAAATAAACCTTAAAAAATATTAAAAAAAAATAATGATCTGGTGGGCGTTGGTAGCCCACGCCTTTAGTCCCAGCACTCTGGAGGCAGAGGCAGGCAGATCTCTGTGAGTTCGAAGCCAGCCTGGTCTACAAAGTGAGTTCCAGGACAGCCAGGGCTATACAGAGAAACCCTGTCTCAAAAACAAAAACAAAAGATCCACCGGGTTCAGTTTTCTCATCTGAAAACTATCAACTGATACTCTACTTTGAATGGGGTGTTTGTTGCCACTGTTATCACAGCTCCTAGCATGCAGTTCACATTCAACGAATG